TCGGCCCCAGAAATTCTATAACCCACACAAAATGAAATGAGACTTCTTTGTTGAATAATTTCACTCATCGTAAAAATCATCGAATGCACTTTATGTACTTCAAAAAGACAAGCGTATACTAAACACTAAAAATTATTTTAATCTGAAATTTACCAAAAGTCATACCAACTTAATATAAATTAAAACAGTCTTAATATTTTTTGCCCACAGTAACATAAACTAGGTGACGCTGCTAGAGTTGAAATTCTTGACATTAACATGACAGCTAATACCCCAAGTTCAATAAAGCTTACATTACAGCGATTTTTGATAAACGTTGGAGTCGCACCTGTTTGTAGCTTCTTTTCAAGGAATCCTTCAACCTCTTCCATTGTTTGAGCATCGCTCGATCTCGCTCTGTTTTCAGCTCTGTACTAGCATGCTGTTCAAAATTCTTGCCATCGTACTGCTGCAAGATTTTAGTTGGTAAGCTAAGATCCTATTTCAGCTTATTCGTTGCCGTCACTTGAATTTTCACGATAACCTTGCCATTTTGCCACCATGATCTTAATAGAGGTTTTTCTACTTATTTTTGCGATTTCGCTTCTCATGATATCCTACTTTCACTCCACCTCACCACCCCTTTTGGAAGAACCCAAGTACTTGCGTTGCTATTACTAAAAGACGGTTCCGTCTTCCTAAGCCATGACCACCCCCAAAGTTACTCTCGCTTTTCGACATTTTTAGTTTAGTTCTTAGACTACTAAAAACTCAAAAGTAGACGCCCGCATTAAAAGTTGAAGGTTGACACATGCCCTTACGAGACAAAGAGCTGACCTGCGTAAAGGGAGCGTCATCTCAAACTGCATATACCATACCAACCTAATGATGATGCCAAAGGAGCGTACTCTTAGGCCTGCCAATATTTTGACAGGACGGAGGTAGCTTTGGCATTAGGCAGCACCAGACATTTCTACACCGCTACATAAAGGGTTTTTAATAGGGCACTACAAAAGTAGGCCGATAGAGACAGCAAATGACGCTATCACAACGTTTCACTTCAGAAAGGTTTGCCATTTCATCATGAAAAGATATACGATCCAATAACGAGTCGAAATTATTAAAATTTACTACAGAAATTCGGAGCCAGTGGCGTTAAGTTAAAGAACGAGTTTTTTAATAAGAGCGCTACCAAAGTTTTCTTAAATAAAATAAAAACGGTTCTTCTTCTTTTTATTATTTCTCGCTGTGGAAGTACATTCATACGTACTCCATGAGTCACCATTGCATCCGGCGGTGTCATTGGGCCCTACTTATTCCAAGTGGATCAAGACCGGCATGTTACTGTGAATGGGAATAGCTACCGCTCAATGATAACCAAATATTTTTCGCTCGATTTGGATGTAATGGATTGGACAATATGCGATTCCAACAGGWCGGCGCCAGAGGACACACAGCAAATGTCACAATCGATTTATTGATAACTAAGTTTGGTTATTTTTCGAAATGGTCCGGGCAATTGGCCGCCTCGGTTATGCGATTTGACGCCGTTRGAATATTTCCTGTGCGGCTACGTCAAGGCTTTGATCAATGCCAACAAGCCAGCGACGATGAAAAACATTGGTACGAAAGTCAAACATTTTCAGAGTCTTGATTTCTGCAGGCGTGCCCGTGGTGACCATGCAAAAGAAATCGAGCTCCATACGAAATGGAATCGAATGTACACAGAATAGCTAATTTCATTGATATTCCAACCCGTTTTTGTTTTATTTAAACAACTTTTGTAGCACTCTTATTGAAAAACCCTTTACTAAGGCGGCAGAACATCTCGGTTCCTAGCCTGTTCATAATCCGTGCCGGTCAGAGGTCAATGGTTCGTACGAATTCTACAGGGCTGTGAAGGTCGCAGGTTATTTGGCGTTACCTATAATGCAGCGCGCTATCATGTTTAATGGGATTTTGATAACATAACATAGGTTTACTTACACTGTTCGATCCAAGAAGCTATTGATCAAATGTATACGACCCCAGCACCATGGTACAAAAAGCATGCCATAATGCTCAGACCACCATGTTTAAAAGTTTTAGTAGTGTAAATTGAGTAAAATAATGCGTTTGGTAGTGGTCCCTGTTCTTCAAGAATATGGGAGTTTTGTTTTCATTTAGTCTGCTACGATATGTAAGAGCCCAATAATTTTTTTATTAAAATACTATTATGTTTGTATTCTGACAGTCGGACTGATAAATTCGTAGGCTAACATAGAAAATATCTTTTTTATTTTTTGATCAAATTTGCTTTTATTAGCCTTCGAAAGCGATACAACGATTATAGCGGTCAAATAAATTTTCATTACTTCATTTTTATAATCAATGCGCTTCAAAAATGGATCACTTCTTTGACGTTTGATAAGAAAAGCACAGTTCTTCAATAGACGAAACTTCGTTCCGTAAAAATCAGAGGATCTCATACATCAAGCCTTGAAATCAATCCTAGACATTTCACGTGCTTGTGAACGGTTGTTTTAGAAAAAAAAAAAACATATATATAGGAACAGGGACAAACCCTGTTGTTGTTGTTTTTTTACTATTAAAAGGATATGAATGCAGCTATTTTAAAGTAGTTTTTTTAAAAAACAACCACACTATATCAGCTGTTTAAATATAGAACGGTAAAGCATTGAAGTTGGTTGCGAAAAAATTCAATAAGATTATCTGCTGTCATCAAACGAAATTACTAGGTGAATGACCCAAATAAGAAGGTGTTACAGTACTATTTTCATAAACACAACTGTATATAGTTCTCCATAATATGACCTAGCAGGTTTTGGTCTGGTCATAAATTAATTTTTTGGTAAAAATTGTTTATAAAATTCATCATATTTTTTTGAGCGTAGGCAAATTTTACGGTCAATATTTTCCAGACGATAGCTTTTCCACGGAAAAGGTCGAAATCACTGCTGTAGCTTTTATTATTACTTCTATATAATATATTAGGGCGTTATTTTAATCTTGCAAAGCGCTTGTAAGGTGCACGTATTGCACGAATTTTAAATTTTCACCCAAAATCACATTCTCTCATTTTCAGTGAGATAACTCATATATTTGGCTGATAAATGCAGATCTTTTGGCACCAATCGCTCTGAGACTTTTCGAATACTCAAAACATCAACTAAAATATGACGAGAGGTCTCATGTGACATGTCCATTATTTGGGCTATCTCTCGCAAACTATAATGACGATTTTCGAGAACCATTTCCTTTATTTTGTCGACGTTTTCTTCAGTTGAAGAAGTTGAAGGTCGTCCTGAACGTGGCAAATCATTCAGCTCTTCTCGCYCCTCTTAGAACGATTTCTACCAATCGTAAACTTGAGTTTTTGACACGGTTGAATCCCCAAATGTCTTTTTCAACATTTCCAACGTTTTGGCACAAGAAATTTCGTTTTAAAATACAAAATTTCACACAAACTCTTTGTCCAATATTTTTATTCATATTAAAAATCGCAACTCACACAAAGGGTTGACTTGCTCCTAATGACTCCTTAAACAAACTAAATGACACATAGCAAAAAACAAGAAAATTGACAGAATGGTGCTTGACAGTTTTGCTAACCTGGGAAAACATATTTTGAAATATTCTCAGCGTGAAAATTTAAAATTATAATTTCCGGGTACTTATTTGACAGAATATATCACAAGTATTAATCGATATTTGCGGTAAATTTTCAACCATGTGTACTGAGGTCCAAATATTTACTAATCACCTAGAGGTTTAGGCTGAATTTTGACAATTTTCGATTATAAGGTGGCATACTATATGGAAAGTAGGCGTGGTTGTATGTTTCGCCTAACGTCCAACTTCTACCCTAGAACACTCTCACGCCATCTTTGGTGTAAAATTTTATGTCTTTGTCGTATTTCATTACTCGATTTATCGCACTTTTAGTAGTTCTTAACAGAACAGTTATAAGTAGAGGTGTTATCTACCGATTTCATCTATTTTGACGGCGGTAGGGATACTTAAGGAATTTGCCCTGAGCAGATAATGCTTTGGCACCTTATAAGTTTTCGTTTAATGAATGTCCAAAACCGAATATCTATGAACTCGTTGTTTGCCAAGGAACACGTATAAAAGTTTAAATTTTAATATCTCAATTCTTACTCAAGTTATAGCTTGCAAAGACAGACTGACGCACGTATGGACAGACAGACGAATATGCCAATTTAAGCTCGGTACGTCATTTGCGCATTTATTCTAGAAAACAAAAAAAACAAAAAATATGCCAAGCGAAATGGATATATCCGTCAGATCATTCTCAAGACTTATTCGAGATCATCTTTACATGAAAGCCTATCGTCGGTCAATTGATCATCCTCTGACAATGCGCTTGAAGCAAATTAGGCTTATCGGACAAAAGGTGACCATGTCGAGAAAATTTTGTAACAGGTCAATTGTTCACAAATGTCCACCAAATAATTTGGATGACCGTAAAGTGAAGTTGTTCGTGATAGCAGGCACTCTAAAGATATCAACTGACAGTGTAATCATATCATTCACACAAATTTTTGTATGAGAAAGATCTATGCAAAGTGGGTGCCGCTCAAATTTAATATTTAAGTARTTTTAAAAATGTTTCTATAAAATTGTTTAAAAATTTTTCTATTTTACCAGGGAAAAGAACCAGTTGGTTTCAGTGGAAGAATTGAACTGAATTTTCCAATTTTTTGATTTGTGAAATAAATTAGCAATTTTTTTAATCATTTGAATACTGACATTAATAACATCGGAGTTTATTAATTAAGAAGAAATATTGTGAACAAGTGATTCTRATTCTTCATATAGGTTATTACTATTAGTCCTTTTTATACTCTTGCAACCAGTTGGTACAGAGTATTATAGCCCTGACATACCAGCAAAATTAATGCGCATTGAAATTTTATGATGACAGACGGCAGACTTGTGCATTTCGACAGCTGATTGTGAAATTTGTTTATTTGAATAAGAGAAATTGTTAATAGGAATTTTGGTATTTTTGGAAAATCAATATAAATTTAACGAAAAATTTGTTTATTATTAATTACGTTCAAAGATAATGGAGYGAAATTAAAAGCAATAATTGATTGCGAAAAATGCGCGAAAAAAGTGTGCGAAAAAGTTAAGAATGTTGGAAAAATGGATAGCAAACTGTGCGTTGTTTATCTTCTGCCCTCTAAAAATTTTCAAATTTGCTTTTGTTAATATATGTACTTTCAAATCATTTAATTAGCAATATAAAACTGACTTCCAGCGACATCTGTCAAAAAATATCAAAAATCTGTCATTTTTGAGCAATATTCTTCTTCTTCTTCTTGATTCGCGTAGTCACCGCTTTCGCGATTATAGCCGAGTTAACAACCGCGCGCCATTCGTTTCATCTCTTCGTTACGTGGCGCCAATTAGATATTCCAAGCGTAGCCAGGTCCTTCTCCACCTTTTCCTTCCAACAGAGTGGAGGTCTTCCCCTTTTTCTGCTTCCCCGGACGAGTACAGCTGAATACTTCAGAGCTGAAGTGTTTTCGGCCATCTGGACAACATGACCTAGCCAGCGTAGCCACTGTCTTTTAATTCACTGAACTATGTCAATGTTGCATATATCTCATATAGCTCATCGTTTCATCGCATGCGATATTCGCCGTGGCCAACGCGCAAAGGACCATAAAACTTTCGCAGAACCTTTCTCTTGAAAACTCGCAACGTCGACTCATCAGTTTTTGTCATCGACCAAGCCTCTGCACCATATGGAGCTATGAGTGACTTATAAAGTTTGGTTTTTGTTTGTCGAGAGAGGACTTTGCTTCTCAATTGCCTACTCAGTCCGAAGTAGCACCTGTTGGCAAGAGTTATCCTGCGTTGGATTTC